CTCCTGTCTGCACCGCAGGGTCTGCCCCAGCCCAGCACCGCCAACACCCCCGGCATTGCCAAGGGGACACCAACGTGCCCAGGCGCAGCACAGCAATGAGCAGCCATTTCTCCGCTGACTGCGGGTTGCCTGCAGCGCAGCGCAGAGCTCGTGTGGTGCACAGCACAGGGCTGCTCATCACACCTCTCTCCCGCTGCTGCCAGCTCCCACTCTCCCAAACCCCTGCGCAAATGCCATCCCAGACCCTTCTCCTCTGTCACCGTGAGCTGCAGCGTGAGCCCACGGCACAGGCAGCACACACGCCTGCACCCCAGCATCGCCACCCACCCGCGGGACCCCCCCGAACCAGTACGCTTCCCAGTCAGTCCCAGTGTGGCCCATTAGCAAAACACAGGCAGGGTGGTGGGCACAGCTCCGGGGGCTGCTACGGCTGCTGTGCTGCTCGGGGGAGGACGGCGGGGTTGGGCCGCTGCCTGGGAGCACAGTCGGCACCGCAGCGCTCCCCTGCCCGTGCGGAGGGCTTGGGGCGAGCGCCCGGCAGAGACGGGGTGCTGTGCCCTGCAGCATCAGGAGCGAGGAGGCAGCGGAAAAGGATGACTTAACAGCAGCTAAATTTAGACAGATGCCGGTGGAGTGAGAACATTTCCCCTGTGGTCACAATGTTTACATAGTGAGCAACGTCCCAGGGCGTCCTGCAACCCGCAGCACTCGCTCTACCTGACGGGACCCGGCAAACACCCGGGGAGCCGCAGAGCATCGTGCTGCCGGCTCCCAAGCTGCGCAGCAGATGAGCAGGACCAGCCTGCCCTTCCCTTCTGCTGCAGCCTCGCGGCAGGGCTCAGGAGGCCAGGATACACGGGAAACCACTTCTGCCAGACCAGGGGTGAGCCAGGAGCCCCGGGACCCCAGTCCCCAGCAGTGGCCGGCGTGGGGGAGGTCAGGGAGTCTGCCACAGGAGTGACTCACGCAGCCGGAGCTGCGGGACAGGAGGAGCATGGTGCAATAGCCTCCCTGAATCAGCCGGCTGGCGA